TAGTATTGTATTTGCAGACTGACAGTAATTGTATAACTTCAATGTATCAAATCAATTAACTGTTATATTTTTGCATTTATTCAAAGCAAGGCCCATCCAACGGCTGAATCGCGATAAAGCATTTTTTTTCTTCTTGGCGAATTTATTCGCGGGAATCTAAAGCGTCGGCTCATGCACATGCGCATTCACATTTCTGTCGGAGTTTTTGCTAGCGAAAAAAAATGCGCAACCAATCAGAACTCAGGAAGCGAACCGACGCTTTAATTCGCGCAAATAAATTAACCTTGTGGAAAACCAGCTGAAGGCTGACACAGACTGGAAAATAGTGAATTTTAATTGAACAACTATTAAAATTAAATTAGTATTTTGTCATTTCAAACTGACAGTATGTAAATGTATTAAACTTCAGACATAAGTTGAATAAATATAGCTTGATTTTTCACTTTCATTGTAATACAAAAAGCATATTAAGATGACCCAAAGAGTGATACAAATCCACAAGAATAACTGCAACAGCAACTGAGAGAGGACTTAAGCAGGCAGACAGTTTGTCAACAAATACGGGGCCGGCCTAGCCCAATCTCGCATTGAAATCTCCACTTATTCTGAGGAAGTTGTGATATGGGACAGACTTTGTTGCATATAGTTTACTGGAAACTTGGGAGGTCTGATTTCTACCTGTGTCATTATTTCCAAATGTGTGATCAAATTCAGCAATAAAGAAATAAAAGTTGTTTTTATAAACTTGTTTCACAACTTGGTTACAATAAAATTCTTGGTCATTATTCAAATGGGGCCAAATACACACTAAATTTGTGCAGTTTTCTCAATTGGGATTGGATGGCAGCATCTTAATAATATTATAAATTAATAACAGTATCATTACTAATTATTATTATTATTATAGTAATACCACATTGCAGAATGATTACATTATTATTACATTATAAAATTAGGGTACTGTATTATTAATTAAATTATTTATTATAACATTCTTTATTATTATTACTGTGTTAGTTAGCATATATCTAATTGTGGAGAAATGCTGGCACAATTTTATGTTAAACAAGACAAGAATATGGAATCACAGATGGAGGCACAATTGCTCAACTCTGGCAGTAAAATAACATTGGAGTAAAAATTGCTCATCTATCAACACAGATTTTCTATAATTGAGGGTCAATTTAACTCCAAGTGGATGAGTTATTTTAACTCCTCTTTTTTTACTCTAAATATAGAGTTACTTTAACCCAACCAACCAAATAACTGGAGTAAAATTGACTCCAAAATTATAACCTTATATAAGGGTGGAGTGAAAATAACTCTGTATAGGAGTAACTTTAAATTTTACTCCCCCCATTGAGTTAATTTAATACCATTTAAGGAGTTAAAATAACCCCACATAATTTACTCTCCCTTAGGGAGTTGTTCTTACTCCCCATGGTGAGTTGAAATAACTCCTTGAAAATAACAGTGTAATACATAACACAGGCATTCGTTCAAAGCATAAACCTGCTGAAAGTCTCATCATTGGTTAGAATACTCTAAACGCTCTAGCATTTCAAATAGTTCAAATGTTCCCAATTTCTTTTCAAGAAATTCATCGACATTCTTCATCAATGTACCAAATTATCATCACTCTGCAGCCCTCAAAGTCGATCAGTACTTTAAGGAGGGTTTCAGTTCAAAACGGCAATAAACTTTTATGACATATCGGGTATATTTTTTTTGTGTGTAATTTAAAGTTTTATTTATTTGAACGTTCACTGATATTATTGTGTTTATTTTTATTATTTAATTTGTATTTTGTTATATTGTTATAAGGCCTATTTCTTATTATTATTATTATTACTACTACTGTACTGTTTCATTATTATTATTTTTAATTAATGTCATTATATAATCATTTTGTCACTATTTTAAATTTTAAATTATTTAAATGTCTACTGCTTTTATATTGTGTTTCGCCCAATATTATTATTATTATTATTATTATTATTATTATTATTATTATTATTATTATTATTATTATTATTATATGGTTCATTGCTGTTTTGACCCATTGCTATTCTGGTAAAAAAGCGTCAATCAGAACGAACACTTTCCTTAATTAAAAATTGTGTAAAAATACCTAGGCTTAGACCTATCGCCTCAAAACATCGTACTTTTCTATTCATTTCGTACCACGTTTCTCTGTCTAGCTGACAAGTTAGGCCTTGCTTGAATGGTTATCAGCAGAGGGGTGTAGGGTATTATATCGAATAGCTGACCAAAACCTTACCAAAAACAATGATTAATATCATATCTTCGTAAGTACTTGGCCAATTTTAACGGGAAAAGCGTGAAAATGTTCAAAATCATGAAATAAAACATTATTCGTAGCCCACTATATATAATAAATGTGCATCAGTCAAGGATTGCTTATGTATAGGTGTGAAAACCTAAGAGATTAATCACCAGATAAAGGCTAATCCTTTTTTTCCATTTAGCCATGGACCTCAACCTGCAATGGCCACTAGAGCCACTACCGCTTGCGGGATCATCGCCAGCAGAGTCGTTGACTGAACTCGCAGCAGAAAGCCATCCAGTGGAACCGAAAGAACCACCGCTTACAGTTACTGGAACAGGGCAGCCGGTTTTGCCGAGCCGTCCCTGTCTTGGCCCGGAGAACCCATGTGTTTGGTCGGGTTGTACACTGAGAAGGGTGGTGAACATGCGAGTGCGTGTGATGGAGAAGCATGCCCCGTGTCTGAAGCCTTTAGGTCGGAGCACCCGTCGTCAAGCTCGGCGACATCTCCAAATTCTAGAGCAGCTGGCTATTGTATGCATGGGTGAGGGAACCACTCTGCAGGGCAGGCACTAATGATTCGGGTCAACCGGGAAAGGGCAATGGGACCGCCAGGGGTCAAGTATGCCATTGACCACAAAACGTACAGGGCGATGCAGATGATCTGCTCTGTAATGGGTGAAGATGAGCCAATCACCTTCACCATCAATCCTGCCAACCATCCGGCATCCCTCATCCATTGGCGGTGTCTGGCAGCGATTGCCGAACGTGTCGAACCCGCTGTAGTCCGGGCCGTCTTCGAGCGAGCTGGGGGGAAGATACTGCCCATCCCTCGCCATCCCATGAGAAGAAGCACCTGGAGGAAAAGGAGGGCAAGCTCAAGCGGAAGGCGCTCCCACAATCACGTGGGGGCCGCATTCTTGGCAGGGTTCGATGCCGACGCACATTTTCATATGGACCGTCTTCGCCAGGGGCTGGAATTATCATTTATGGCTAACCTCAGTGACCTGGAGCAGGCGGAGCCATCCCGAGGTGACACTAGTCCCGTGGCGGGAGGCGTTGTAGTTTACTGTGACCCTCAATCTTACCCCACGACACGGGGAATAAATTTTATCACAATAGACCTGTACCTCGAAAAAAGCCTAACATCTGACCAGTTCGATCGACTCCATTCACTCTCAAGAATGAGGTGAAAGTGTTGGGGGAAATCGGCCTTGACCATTCCAGGCCTTCCTCTGATTGGTACCGCCAGGAGGGACTCTTCAGACGTTTGTTGAACCGGTGTTATTCCCATCACCAACACCGTGTGGTATTCCTACATCTGAGGGGTGTGGTTGGGGAGCCCACGGCAGAAGAATGCTACTCGCAAGCACTGGACATCTTAAGGCTGTACCGTATTCTGCGAGAGTAGAGATTACTTCTCCACAACTACACCTCCACCGTTGCCATCGCTGATGCTTATCGCCGTCACTTTCCGGCTACGTACTTTAGCTTTTCTCTGGCAGCGAGTGGTTTCAACAGCCAGCAACGACAAGCATGTAGGCATATAGAAGCCATGGACGACCGACGGTTGCTGATTGAGTCGGATGGGCCACATTTCGCACCGGCAGGGCAGTGAGTTGGTGCACCCCATCTCTTGTGGGCGGCAGCAGCAACACTGGGGGAGATGCTCGGCCGGGACCCCAGGCAGGTCTTAGACCTGACCTGGAAGAACGGTCGAGACCTCTTCTAGAAATTCGATTTGCGTTCCACAAAGAAGTATTTATGTTTGTTCTTATTTTTGTTTTGGAAATTAATTAATTTACTTACTCATTTACTCCTTTCAGACCAGAGTACAAAACTACTTAATAATCAATAGAAACCAACTTTTAGAACGTTAATTATCCGAATTCCGTTAAAAATCATATTTCTTGATTTTGTTTTGTTGGTTTTTCCCGTCGTGTGTCGGTATGTAATGCGTTGACATCGTGGATCTGTAACGCATTGACGTGTCAGCAGAAACGCATTCAACCATGACCTTCATGTCTGTGTTTCATCTTAACCTCCTTGGTTTCATAGCATCAATCAAGATAGGCCGTTATATACTGCTACGTGAACGGTAATAAACCTATTCTACATAAACGAAAATGAGAATTTGAATTTTTATGTATTAGATTGATCGTTTATTTTTATTTTCTGTCAGGCTCTAGGCCCTATTGCAAAACAACGTTTACGTTATTTTTTTTATTTATTTATTTTTTTTTTAGTGAAGGGAAAATTTCTAGCCTGGGTCTGCCAAAATCATTATGTTTGAATGTTTTATTTTTTGAGAATAGATTAAGTGTGTGTTACTGATTTTATTAGACATTTCTCGCACGAACCTGCACTCGTCTAGGCCTACCCAAGTACTGTACCATTAAAAATACAAACTTCAACATCTAGGCCTAAATACTATTTGTATTCAATAGGCCTATATAGCAGCACACAATACATCGGATTTTGATGTATATCTTTGGTGTGTAATAGAATCCCTATAAGAAAGACCCACACTCAACATTGGTCCCCACATTGGCAGAATCAACATCTGGGAGATCTGTTCAATAAGTGTTCTTTAGACATTTAACATTTGTTGTACATGCATGGTAATACCATGGTAATACCTATTATGATTAGCACTAGCTGCTGGGAGCCAATTGGCAGTAGTAAAAACTTGCAAAGGCATTGAAATATCATCATGAATTTGCGGGAGTACGCGTGTGAGTGGTGGGAGTCCATCCGGCGAATTCCAGGAAACTCCATTCCGGAACTCTGCAGGAGACTTCGGACTCCTGGACACTAAATGTGGTCTTTAGATTTC